CATGTGTCTTAAGCCAAATAATATTAATTATTGTAGAGAAGTTCATCCCTACCCCTGCTTGAGCCTCTGAAATGAACAGTGAAGTTGAACTTTGCCAGCAACTGTTAGGAAAAGGGCCAAGAACAGCCTAACAGGAAAGATACTGAGGATTTTTTGTTTGTTTTTCTGCTAAACCATGTTTTTGTAATTATTAATACTTTGTTGGAATTGCTTAGAAAAGGAAGTGCACATTAAATGGTTCATACAAATAAACTAACTACATCTTAGATTTGAAAGAGTACTAGGCTGGTCTCACTCTGTCGCACTCATACAGACAAAACCTCTTCTCAAAAGGAATTTGGCTTGCGAAGGCAGATCTGGAGACAAACCTTCGTTAACTTCAGGCCCATGTGCCATATTGTCTGGTTTATGACTGCCCAAATGGCTTAAAAGCAAAGGACATTCATTTTAAACAAAAGCAATGGCTGAAAGGAGAAAGAGGAAATGGAAAGCTGTCATTTCCAAATCCCTTCTACTCAAAATTTGGTTCCTGACTTTGGATCAGAAACTCTGAACAAGGCAGCAATTACTTCATGCTTCTAAAACTATCTTTTACTGCACTGGGAGAAACAGACTACTTTATTTTGCTCAGATTCACAGGAACGCTGCTTTAATTGTTCCCTGCTTGCTCCTGTGACTTTTGCCCAAGCTTCTATTTGTAAAATCCTGAATTGCTTAATTGAGATGACTTGCCAAGGCAGCTTTCTCTTGCTTTCCAGGAGAGAGGATTCTGGTGTGTCAAAAAAAGTTTTTCAAGTGTGGGAAATTACAACTTTGTCCCTCAAGTAAATAAATAATGTAAAGGAGCAAGTTGCACTGGGACCACTTCAAACTGCTATAACAAATAGTGTTTTATCATTTCCATTTGAATGGTTTTCTCTAGGCAATAAAATAGAAGCAGCCTGCTCCTGGCTTCCATCACACTGAGGCATAGGTAGTGTTACAGGCATATCTGCAACAGGAAAACGTCATCCTAGAGTGAGAAAGCTCAGTGTTTGGTTTATAAATTAATATTTCATTATTCATCCTTAAGAAAGCCTTGGTTTTAGTTAAAGGAAAATTAAACTTATTATTGACTGATACAGGGAATGATACAGTGAACAAAACTTTTAGAAGCATATATGCAATATATATGCCCTGTCAGGCACTTTCATATTCCATAGTAACAAGCTCCTTCCCCTGTACACAAAACGGACTTGCTGCACAGTGTTGCTGTGAACATGACCAAAAATAAAGCAAGATCTACTTTATTACAAACCTAGTTTAAGGCTGGTTCTGAAGTTGTACCCTTGTGCAGTGCTCTGTACAAGCAACACTGCGCTGCCATTCAGCTGAGATCAAAATAAAGCCTCCCATTCCTCAATAAACAGTACTGAAAAGCACATTATAGTAGGAAATTGGTAAAGGATGTATGACGATTTTTACCCACACGGTTTGCAATTGTGTTGAAGCCTGTGATAGCAACTAACTATTGCCATCTTAAGGTGGCCCTTTGTATCGCTGCAGATGAAGCCGAGTTAGCTGCTGCTGCTCCTGCGTGCTGCTCTTGTTATCTGCCCTGTCAGTTGCAAGTTCTTAAACGAGGTGGTTAGAAGTGCTTCCTCCAAGATTAGTAAAATCCTACCCTTTTTGAAAGACAAGCATAAAATGTTCAATATTAAGAAAAGGTATTGCAAGATCAATATTTTCCCCTCTCTCTTCCTCTTGCATAAAATTGTATTAAAGACATCTAATTCCTGGCCAAGTAGATCTGCTAAACCCAGACCTCTGCTTCCAGCAACCCTAAGAGGTATTGTTGCATTTGTTTTGCCCAGCTGTATCTCTACAGCACCGGCCAAGAGAGTTCTGTAACTAGATAGTTCTCAAAGTGTTTCATAAACTATTAATTTACATAGGAGATGTGGTGGCTCAAGATGACTACTGACCTGATTCGTACATCGGAAGTGCAGGCACAGAACCAAAGAGCGTTGCAGACAGCAATGGCATCCCCGCTGTCCAGCCCTGGGTGATGATGACCTTCGCAAACAAAGATAAGTAACTTGGTGGATTAAAAAAAACCCTCTGGGTACCTTCTATCTGTAAAAGACATCTGACCTCTGTACATTTTTAATGTGTTTTAATACCAATGAGCAAGGAACTAACTCCTAGCTGAGCAGCCCATGAACATGTTTCTATTTACACATCTTCTGTCACTCCTGCAACTCCTGACACAAAGCGTGAGCACTGATGACATCACGACAGGGCACAACCAGGAAGTTAAAAACAAATTGGGAAGCCAACCTTCCCACATCGCTGATCCAAACCCACCCACAAAGGAGTGAATGCAGAGCTACCTTCTTCTGTAAAAGAAATTTGGTATTTTCAGTCCAATGGGCCTCTGAAAAAGTTTCCAACCCCAACTGGTTCTTCAGCTGGATGTACTCTGCAAGGAAATGGAAAACTTGAAAGGATACAAAATGGCCATCTCATCTGCACAAGTGCCCCAACAGGATGGCACTGATTGATGCACGGTGGTAGGAAAACTTGTAACCCCAGTCCATACTATTGTATACCTTCTGAGGTTGCAAGCCAGAGCTGAACACCCTCCTCACCTCTTATTTCTCCTGAAAGAACTTACTAAGACACGTCTGGACACATCAAGCTAAAACAAGTAATTCCTAAAATTTCTTGAATGTAAAGTTTACCCTTAAATATAAAAACATCCAAATTTCACATTTTTATTTTTTTTTAAATTGAATCAGTCCAACTCTCCTACACATTTGGCATCCTGTAAGAACATGGCATTCACTCCAGTACAAGTTAGATAGTTCCCCTTCCCTTCACTGTTTAGATCTTGCATACGGCAAACAGAGCTGTCCCAAAGGCAAGCATGTCAACTTGCTACCTTCAGCTGCTTTTCACTGCAACTTAAATACCATTCCATTTCACTAGAGTTCAGCAGCTTTGCATAAAGCTATAACAATCTGTTGTGAAACACTTGAGCAATTCAACATAAATCTGGTATCAAAGATAGCTAAGCTTAAAGAGCTTGAATTGAATTTTACAGATGTTACAGAGCATGTATTTAATTTGGTATTGCTGATTTGTACTTGAATTTGACACAGGCTTCCTTGGAATTGCTGCAGGGTGCTCAGTTTGCCCAGCACAAAACAGCATATATCTACACAGTCAATTCCTACAGTTAAACGTGTCCATTTAAGATGACTTTCACAAATAATGTTAAAGATCCCATTAAGTTATGTAAGGGGCCTCTAAGTTCTGACTTGTGTGACCAAATGACTTCAGTGCCAGTGTTACTCAAGTTGGGATGCTGTGCTCCTTACTGCCGAACTACTCAGGGACGAGATGTCATCTCCTTACACTGCCCAACAGTGGCGCCCAGTGGTCAAACTGTTCTCATCAACACTTTGGGAAAGCGCTGCTCTTCAAGTTCCCCCACAGGCAGGATTTTCTAAAAACAGTGAGTCAGCTTAAAGGCACTCTCTTCAGCTACTGAGGTTCCAGAAATTAGCCACTACTTAAACTGTCTGGAAAGCCAGAGACTACCATGGCTGGTGAGGCTAGGGAAAATGCATGGCACCTGAAATGCTGCACAGAAGGCAGGCAGTCCTCCCCACACAGGAGACAAGGGTAGTGCAGGCCGAACACATCAGCAAAATTGTTCTTACAAAAACTAAGTACGCCACCTCAAGCAATTTGACATTTTATATCATTCATATCGAGGTGCAGAAGCATGTCCAAAGAAGAGCAGCAAAGCTGGTGAAGGGTCTAGAGCACAAGTCCTATGAGGAGTGGCTCAGGGAACCGGGGCTGTTCAGCCTGGAGAAAAGGAGGCTGAGGGGAGACCTTATCACTCTCTTCAACTACTTGAAAGGAGGTTGCAGCAAGGTGAAGGTCAGTCTCTTCTCCCAAGTAACAGGACAGGAGGAAATTACCTCAAGTTGTGCCAGGGGAGGTTTAGATTGGGTACGAAAAATTTCTTTACTGAAAGGGTTGTCAGGCATTTGAACAGGCTGCCCAGGGAAGTGGTTGGAATCACCATCTCTGGAGGCATTCAAAGACATGTAGACGCAGTGCTTAGGGACATGGTTTAGTGGTGGACTTGGCAACGCTATGTTCATGGTCAGACTTGGTCTTAAAAGCCTTTTCCAACCTAAATGATTCTATGATTCTGTATGTCCTTTTCTAAATAGCTACAGACTGTGAAAGCATTCCTGGGCAAGAGATTATTTTGGTCTTGATGACGCAGCTTTGCTTTCTGAAGGTCCTAGTACCCAAGTCAATTTCCAGAAGTGTGATGGAGCACATCAGACAAACCATCTACAGCTGATCCAAAGCAGCAGTAGGGCTAACAAACCCACCAGACATTAACAAGGATCCACAAATATCCATACCAAGTTATTTTCCATCAGTATAGAAAAAAAGATAATTCTTCAGATTTTGCATGTTAACAGAACAGAAACACACAGAGGTGTGCCCTGATAAAAAGTCTAGGACTAAACTCTGGAAGATAGCATCTAACATTCTTCCCTCTTAGAGAGAAACTCATTTCAGGTGGCTCATATTTATATAGTCTCTGTAAATAAGTACAGAGAGGTCAAATGCCAAGACAGCATGTCAGAAAGATAAAGGAGAAGATAGGAAAAGTAAGCTATGAAGTGCAGAGAGGCAGCACTAACACAACAAATACTTTTCTCACTAAACCAAAGCTGAACTGCAAGTACTATCAGAAGATTATGTAAACCTAATTTAGCATGCTTACACTCTTCCATGTTTTAGTATAAGGGATTCTAAGAAGGGGATTCACATTGGAATTGGACTGATCAATAGATGAAGATGAGATGAACCAAACTGGTTCTTAACACTAAGCTTCATTCTTACCATATACTGCTCTGGTAAAGTTCTAAGAAATACTAATACTTCCAACAAAGATAGAAAATATTCAGCACTACAGCAGTCATACTTCTTGAAAAAATTTAATAAGACGAATGTCTTCTTAGCACAGGTAAATTGTACATCATAGATTACATGTTTATAAGTGAACTGAGTTCACTCAGTTCAGTTTTAGTCTTTCCGCAATTGGATAGTTTCCTCTCGAATTCCCTCTTTTGTGACAATGCAAATCTTAACTGCATCCCCAGTGTACACGTCTCTCTCAGCAGCAGAAATAAAGACATCTTTAACCAGCTGCAAAGCCTTCTCCATGGTCAGAGGCACGTGTTCCACATTTTGCATGTTCTTGAAGCCAATCTAAGGAAAGATGAAAATGCATTTCAAAGGAAGTATGTTCCACTTAGCATGAAAGCTGTTTCTGACTCTGCACTAGGATGAGCACATTGAGACAACTTAGAACGACAAAATGATTCTCTGACTTAGAAACCCAAAGCTGGCAAAAGTATTTCTGCATACAGCTTACAGCTCCATGATCAGAACTCTGCCAATACTGATCCACTTACAAAAGTAACTAGAAGCAGATCCAGTTAAAGTAAGCACCAGTCCTCCCACTCATTCAGCACATACAAGATCACAATGAACACCCAGATGACTTGCACAAAACTTAAGAATTTTATAAAACTGTATGTTAACTGGTAAAATGTATTACATATACACCTACTAATTCTATCTCCTTAATTTAGTATTATTTCATGCTAAGTAACAGGCATATTTATATTATCGATTGGGGAAAACCAGCTTCTGTGGTAAACACAATTTCCCAATTAAAACATTTCACTGTATTGTAAACAGGCAGTCCACTGTTTTTTACCAGATTAAAAACCCAAACAGATTCTAAAACAAAATGTTCTGATTTCTCCTGAGAAAGCAGAGCCCCACAATTTGTAAATTTATGGATTAGCAGTCCTATCTTTAATAGTAATACTCCCCAAAAGTAAAGCTACATTAATTTGAATGTCACAAATGTTTAAAAAAACAAACCAAAATACAAAACACCCCCCCACACAAACAGAGAAATAACTCTTTTACCTGGTTATCAAGCAAGGGCTGCAGCATGGCACTGGCTGATCCAGCTGCTTTGAAGGAATCTCTCTGGTATGAGCCTACTGGATCAAAGCTATACACTGCTCCCTTCCCTTGACAAAAAAAAAAAAAAGTAAAAAAAAAAGTATGTAATCACAATCAGAAAGATTTGCATTACTGATATGAATTTACATCAGAAATTAGCTCCCTCCATAAGGCAGTCTCTCTCTCTCTCTCTGGAGTACCACAAATACCTTTACCTAATTATATCACAGAATGTTCAGACAGTGCTTTGTACAGTAGGCTCACTATGGTTGTGGTCTGCTACTATATGCAAGGTTATCTTCAATGCTTAAGCTATAAGCATGCTCTAAAGGATGTTTTCTACAGTATTTAGCACAGAAAAAGTACTGAGGCAGAATAATCAAAGCAGGAGAACAAGCTAGAGTGCAGTGCTGCACGAAGAGTTCTGCTGGTTTGAAAGCTGGCACATAGAGACAGTTTAGCCATTGTTCTTGAATGATGTATTTTGACTGATACAGTTCCTGAACTGCCTCCACAGAGCATGCTTGGATGCCTCTGCATTGCCTTCCTGGATGATGCTCTGGCCTTTTACGCACTTCCCTCTGGAGTCAGGCCAGGCTGTGCAAAGCTTACTAGCTTGTGCTGACACCAGAGATGCAGACTGACTGCAGCTCTGAAGCATCAGGATTTGATGAGGACATGCTGGTCAAAAGGCAGCCCCTGGCCAAGCTCACCCTTCAGACAAGCTGAAATGGCCACTGCACTTGGCAGCACAGCCCAGCACAGGCAGCGGAGCAGCCCCAAGAAAGCTAGCAGAGAACCAGGACACTAAACCAAACCAAATCAATCTTGCTGCACCCAAATTAAGCCTATGCCACAAACCTGCAGTCTGATTCTTACCAACTGCTACAGCACACTCATAATCTGAGATTACACAGGGCAGACTAATCCCTTTCCAGACTCCACATATTGTAGACATGTCTCTGTGAGACTGGTAAGCAGTATAACCTAATGGTAGCAACTTTGGGGAATGGTTGAAATTATCCAAACAGGACAACCCCTAAGCTCCTGCCCAAAGTCAGAGAATGCAGTATTTTAGCAACTCAACCAAACCACTGGGCAAGAGCCCACTAAATCCTGGAAGGGCTGTATGTTAAACTGCAGCTGCTATGCAGAAGTCAATGATTTTCATTAGTGGTTAGTTAACATTTAAAAATCTCCTTGTAGAAAAACATTTCTGGAGTACATCACAGTTAAGAATCTCTACCATACTCACAAGTCTGAGTAAAATGCATACAATTTTATTGCTAGCATCTCTTTTAAAGACATAATTAAGAAATCCAGCAAACCTGTTATAAAGTGTTCCAGCCTAAAGAAAGAGAGGTAAGCAATTTTAGCAGATTTCACTTGTAATCAAATAATTATAACATAGTTCTTAGACTTTCTAACCTTAATAAACAGAAGATCAAGTTAGCTGTGGAAACTATGAAACAAGTAAGGTGCATAATATGCATGCGACCCGTGTAAGTACCACCATGTCTACTTAGAAACCCAAAGCTGGCAAAAGTATTTCTGCATACAGCTTACAGCTCCATGATCAGAACTCTGCCAATACTGATCCACTTACAAAAGTAACTAGAAGCAGATCCAGTTAAAGTAAGCACCAGTCCTCCCACTCATTCAGCACATACAAGATCACAATGAACACCCAGATGACTTGCACAAAACTTAAGAATTTTATAAAACTGTATGTTAACTGGTAAAATGTATTACATATACACCTACTAATTCTATCTCCTTAATTTAGTATTATTTCATGCTAAGTAACAGGCATATTTATATTATCGATTGGGGAAAACCAGCTTCTGTGGTAAACACAATTTCCCAATTAAAACATTTCACTGTATTGTAAACAGGCAGTCCACTGTTTTTTACCAGATTAAAAACCCAAACAGATTCTAAAACAAAATGTTCTGATTTCTCCTGAGAAAGCAGAGCCCCACAATTTGTAAATTTATGGATTAGCAGTCCTATCTTTAATAGTAATACTCCCCAAAAGTAAAGCTACATTAATTTGAATGTCACAAATGTTTAAAAAAACAAACCAAAATACAAAACACCCCCCCACACAAACAGAGAAATAACTCTTTTACCTGGTTATCAAGCAAGGGCTGCAGCATGGCACTGGCTGATCCAGCTGCTTTGAAGGAATCTCTCTGGTATGAGCCTACTGGATCAAAGCTATACACTGCTCCCTTCCCTTGCAAAAAAAAAAAAAAAGTAAAAAAAAAAGTATGTAATCACAATCAGAAAGATTTGCATTACTGATATGAATTTAAATCAGAAATTAGCTCCCTCCATAAGGCAGTCTCTCTCTCTCTCTCTGGAGTACCACAAATACCTTTACCTAATTATATCACAGAATGTTCAGACAGTGCTTTGTACAGTAGGCTCACTATGGTTGTGGTCTGCTGCTATATGCAAGGTTATCTTCAATGCTTAAGCTATAAGCATGCTCTAAAGGATGTTTTCTACAGTATTTAGCACAGAAAAAGTACTGAGGCAGAATAATCAAAGCAGGAGAACAAGCTAGAGTGCAGTGCTGCACGAAGAGTTCTGCTGGTTTGAAAGCTGGCACATAGAGACAGTTTAGCCATTGTTCTTGAATGATGTATTTTGACTGATACAGTTCCTGAACTGCCTCCACAGAGCATGCTTGGATGCCTCTGCATTGCCTTCCTGGATGATGCTCTGGCCTTTTACGCACTTCCCTCTGGAGTCAGGCCAGGCTGTGCAAAGCTTACTAGCTTGTGCTGACACCAGAGATGCAGACTGACTGCAGCTCTGAAGCATCAGGATTTGATGAGGACATGCTGGTCAAAAGGCAGCCCCTGGCCAAGCTCACCCTTCAGACAAGCTGAAATGGCCACTGCACTTGGCAGCACAGCCCAGCACAGGCAGCGGAGCAGCCCCAAGAAAGCTAGCAGAGAACCAGGACACTAAACCAAACCAAATCAATCTTGCTGCACCCAAATTAAGCCTATGCACACAAACCTGCAGTCTGATTCTTACCAACTGCTACAGCACACTCATAATCTGAGATTACACAGGGCAGACTAATCCCTTTCCAGACTCCACATATTGTAGACATTGTCTCTGTGAGACTGGTAAGCAGTATAACCTAATGGTAGCAACTTTGGGGAATGGTTGAAATTATCCAAACAGGACAACCCCTAAGCTCCTGCCCAAAGTCAGAGAATGCAGTATTTTAGCAACTCAACCAAACCACTGGGCAAGAGCCCACTAAATCCTGGAAGGGCTGTATGTTAAACTGCAGCTGCTATGCAGAAGTCAATGATTTTCATTAGTGGTTAGTTAACATTTAAAAATCTCCTTGTAGAAAAACATTTCTGGAGTACATCACAGTTAAGAATCTCTACCATACTCACAAGTCTGAGTAAAATGCATACAATTTTATTGCTAGCATCTCTTTTAAAGACATAATTAAGAAATCCAGCAAACCTGTTATAAAGTGTTCCAGCCTAAAGAAAGAGAGGTAAGCAATTTTAGCAGATTTCACTTGTAATCAAATAATTATAACATAGTTCTTAGACTTTCTAACCTTAATAAACAGAAGATCAAGTTAGCTGTGGAAACTATGAAACAAGTAAGGTGCATAATATGCATGCGACCCGTGTAAGTACCACCATGTCTTAAAGGCATTAGCAAAACGAACACAAACTTCCTTATTCCATCAGTACCTCTGAGATGCAAAAGGACAGCCATTCACCCATAGGGATTTAGCCTCTCTTTTTTTCTTTTTCGTCTTACCTTCCTCATCAAGTCCACCAATTATGTTATAAACGTAGTAAGGAAAGAAACGCCGGGAATACAGAATTGTAGAGAGCATTGCAGCAATGGCCCCAGTAGTCATGGTCTTGTTATTCGAATGTTTGTACATCTGCAAGTGGAACAGCACATCCAAGAAGAAAGCCAAACACTAAATTTTACACTGAATCAGAATTACATTTTCTGTAACCTCACTACAGAAGAATCTGATGCCAAACAAGATCATTAACTAGCGTGATTACTGAAAACACACTGGTCTAAAAGTAGAGCCCTCTTAAAGGCAAAAATTAACATTTCTCCAAAGTATTGTAAAGGACAGGTGTTGCCTCAATAACTTTATTCTCTTCAGCTCCCCCATTCTTTAAAGTTGTGATATTACCCTTAGCAAAAACAGTGTCAATTTCCCCTGCCTGAGCTTTCACAGGCAATACAGTTATGATACAAACCCTGAAGAAGCAAAAATTATATTTAAAACATATCATATAATTGATCTTAAATACGATAAGAGGATAAGTTTCTAAATATAGTAAAACAGTTAGCTACCTTTAATCTTGCTTCGATAATCTTAGTAAGGGTAAGGCAGTCACCATGGAAACCAGTGCATCCAATGACTGTTCGCTCTGTTCTGCAAAACGTAAAATTTTGTTGTGATTTTACATTTAGTATGAACTACAGCACTTTCTTACATAGTAGATTATTATGAAAACACCAAATGCATGTTCAGTTTCTCTAATGCTATCAGAAACAGTTGTCTAAGATGCAGTAACAGATATTTTGTGTAGAAAAGGTAACCACCTCTGTCTTGCAGAGGACTAACTAAGTGCAGGGCCACAGAGACGTCTGTCTTCAATCCACTGACTTCCACAGCAAGACTGAAATTCTGAATTCCTCCATGCACCCTTAGCTCTAGCTAGTATATTCAGTCTTGCCAGAGGACCTGTTTTGAAGGGGGAGCCTGTTACATCACATCACTCACAGGAGATACATAAATTCATATGATCTTGTGTCATCAATTAAAAAAATGAAAAAACAAATCAACATTAAAAAATAATTGTTTACATAGCTGATGGTAGCCTACTAGGTAAGCACCTGCTGCAGTCAAAAGAACATAAACAGTATGTATTTTTAAACCAAGGGGATGCTATCTAGGTGAGTCAAGATAAGCATACAATGACCATAAAAAGTTCAATAACAGAACCACTGACAAGTTTCCCTCTCCTAAAATAAGCACCTCTTTGAAGTGCCAGATGGTTGGCTAGAGACACAGTACAAATGGCAGTAGTGGGCACACTTGTTGCCAACACCAGGTGTCCTGACGAAGGAGAACAAATTACCACAAGCTTAAGTTTTGCCACAGTTAAGACAAAAGGTCTTCTGATCATTCAGCTGAAAAAAACCCATCTAGCTTATATTAAACCTTGTAACACACTAAAAACGTTCTGTTATCAGCTAACTTCATGAGCATGCAACAAGAAACCTGGCCGTATTTACAACCTCACATCCTGAGTTACAGAAGTCACCGTGACTCCAGAAACAGCTTTGCTACGATCCTTTTTTTCTGAGAATTCTGCTTAAAAAAAGAGACAGATCATTCCAGGCAGGTGACAAACTCCTCTGTATAATACATTTTTCATCTTCTCACAAGATCTGGACTTACAGTCGGTAGCATTTTGGACTGTCCCGGCAGTGAATCGCGTAGCCTTCGCTCAGTCGTGTGTCAGAGGCAACAATAGAAAAGTCTTCTCCAGCAATTGCCAACACAGTCCTTAGAAAAGAGTATTCATACAACCATGACTTTTAGACAAATACTTTCTTGGGCAACAGAGAAACAAACTAGATAGCAGGTTCTGTAAGCAGGCTCGTGTTTCACCAAGTATCTTATGTTCCTTGCTGTGCTTCCCACCAAGTACATCCCTACATGTGGGTCAAGACTGGAGGAAGAAGACACTAGACACCCTGAAGAGAATGTATGCACATGATCCTGTATTTTGACTAAAAAATGTATGGAAACTTGGTAAAACTGAGCTTCTATTTGGTGCAAGAACAAGGCTCAATGGAGTAGCAATTTTAGTTGCCTGCTAATGAAAGATTCACCCTTCTGAAACAGTTTGGCTCTCCAAGCAAAAACACTCCAGCCAAATACAAAGCATCGGCATCATTATACTTAAATTATCATTACTGCTTTATTCCTATGTTATCCTATGTTATTTACTTCCAAATAACTAGTTCTGCAATTGCCAGATGCATGCCACCATTAAGCAACAAAGAGGTAGGCATTATTCAAGAAACATATACCTAAATAACAATCTTCTGACCGGATCCTGTCACAAACTCACAGCAAGTGTCTGGAAAACACCACCTACCTTGGACAGTTATGACAAGGTAGCTTTCAACCCAGTTTTAAAAGCTGGTAATATGACAATTACATGGGTTTTCTCAGCCACCATAAACAACCCTGAAGGGAAAGGAAGGCATCTCTTTAGACTCTAGAAGTTCATGGAGCCCGAGCGTGCCAAGAGCCACCTGGAATCGCCAGGACACCGCGAGGAGCTGCAAGGACCCGCGGGACCCTCAGCCCAGGGCTGCCCCTCTTGCTACGAAGAGGTGCTGGCAAGGGGAGACACCCCCCCCCAGGGTGCCAGGGTCAGAAGCGGGAGTAAGACGAGAA